TGTAACCAGCTCCTCCCAGGATGCTCTGGTTGGAGACAGGTGAGTGCACTCTGTACCTTGAGCCAGAGTGCCACAGAGTGCAAACTGTTTGGTGGTTCCTGCCAGAGTCCCCCATCCAGTCACCCAGACTACCCCTCAGTCATCCTGCTCATTCCATCTGCTATCTCTGAGCTTACTACACTGAATGCGTCTTCTTCCTCTTCTGTTACGGGATGAAGGTTTATTCAGCCATCACTTTTAGCACCTGACACTATATATGTATTATCTGTCTTCCCCTTTAGAATGTAAGCTATCCATCCTGTTTCCCACTTTATCCCTAACACCTACAACACTGCCTGGCCTGTAGTTGTGGAGTCTAGATTTTTTGAGTGATTGAATGAATGGTTTCCAATTAACCAGGCTGGGGCATGTACATGATTTACTATATCTTTGAATGTCTCAGTATCTCATGTCTCTTCTCTCAGAGGAGAATCAAAACTTTTTGCCTTGTATGAGTAATGCCCTACATGTGTCGTAGTGATAGGACACCTTTTCTGAGGGAGAGTGAGGCTGGAGTTTGTATTTAGGGGACATCTGGATCAAAATCTGTATGGCTGTCAAAGTCTATGTATTTAGAGGTAATAATTCAAGAAAATGATTGTGATATGGTTGTTTAAAAAAGCAAGAGTACAAAACCCCATATTCAAAATGATCTGGATTTATAAAGTATTATAGACGATACTAGAAAGAAAAGGCTGACTTCAGTGCTAAGCCTGGGATTAATTTGTTACTGAAGTGTGTACTCGAAAAGTGTCATGTTTCCCAAGTCTTTTTCTCACAGGTGGTAAATGTAGACGCTTCACATACTGGCTCTTTCAAAAAGCAGCTGGGGCAGAAGGATGGAGAATAGAAAGAGAACAAGTGCTGCCATCAGATCTGGTTTCATTCTCTCTTGGCACTTCTTAGTTGTATAACCTTAAAATCTTCTGGTATCTGTTTTCTTTCATGTGCCATGTGGATAGCCTACCTCCTTAGCCTTGCCTTGGAATTTCAAAGTTTCTAACAAGTGCCTTTTATGGGATCTAGCATTTTTTACCTGCCCAGTACCTGGGTGCCGTTATTGTGAGTTCAGGAATGTTGTTGGCTGGAGGGGTCCATAGTTAAGATTACTTGGCAACAACAGAAGGAAAGATCTGTTAAAAGAATCACTAATGAAATCTCAAATTTCATTTTGAATGTATATTACAATAACATTTTTGGATATTTTAGGCTAGGTAAGATATTAAAGCTAATTTTACCTGTTTCTCTTTCACTTTTTAATGTGGTCACTAGAAAATTTTAAATTACATATGCAGCTTGAGTTCTGTTGCTTTTGGACAATATCTAGATGATATTGCTACTAGTTGAGCCATGTGGTTTCCATTTAACCAGGCCGGGGCATGTATGTGATTCACTATATGTTCAACTGTCTCATTGGAGAGCAGAATCAAAACTTTTTGCCTTCTGAGTAGTGCCCTACATGTGTTGTAGTGATAGGACACTCTTATAACAAAGTAAACCTTGGTGTTGTCATCCGTCACAGAATGGAGGCTATGCTGTTTGTAGGCTAAGGTTCTCATAGCCAGACCCACAGCCTCAACTTATTCTACAGAACTGCCGTGTTCTACGAAGCCGTGCAGTGGATTACAGCCGGGGCTGCGGGGGCCCTGGATTAGGAGGTTTTACCTTGGTTCTGACCGGCCTCAGCCAAATCACTGTACCTGTGTGGCCCATGAATTCTTCTCACATTTGCCTGTTGCTATAACTGTATGAGCACATCATCTTAGCAAAAAAATACCCCTGTCCTAAAGTGATCTTTAGAGGCTAGAAGTAAGTGTTAATCTCCCTCACATCGATTTGTGATAAAGGAAGACTCAGAATATGGTATGGCTATTATTTAATAGATGATGGAACTAAAGCATGTCACTCTTTCTTCTGCCTCTGCCCAGCGTAACAGCTGTGCCGCGCATACCCTAAAAGGCCATTAAGATTTAACGGTGACAGGTGGCTCTGATTTTCATGGTGGTTTTAAAAAAACACTAGGTTTCTACTCTAAAAATGAAATAAACGCTTGAAAGAGTTTGACAAGCTGGAAGCTCTTTTAAGAAAGTAAGGTCATTTTGTTCTGAAAATCATTTTTTTCTCTCATGCTATTTAACAGCTTTTGAAAAGTCAAAAGTCTAAGCATGAGAAAAGGAGAATCTTGGGTATGCCTGGAGAAAGCAGAAGAACAGACAGGTCGAGGAGGCGGGTAGTGGTTCACTCAAGCGTTTCTGGGTGTGTGTATGTAGTCAGTCCTCACATCTGTTTCTCAAATATGCAAGGAAATGCCCAAGCTAATCTTTAAAGTGAAAATCTTCCCTTTGTGTTTGGGGAAGCTGTAGAAAGCTAAATATATCTTGATCTGGAATTTACATACTAAAATATGTGTCATTTTTGTCATTGTTCCACTTTGTGGCACAGTGATGGGTTTCTTGATTCTTCTTCTCTTTGCCCTGGTTCGTGGGCTTCATGCATCTTGTACTTCACAAACCTAAAATTAAAAATAGCACTTCATACCAAGAACTTGTAGGAGGCTTGTCCATACTAAGTTTTCTCAGTACCTTCTACCTCCTGCTCTATTGGGTCAACTAATTCATCTCTTCTACCTTAGTGGAATTCCTCATTGTCAGAGCCATAAGTCATTGGACAGTTCAGGATTAAACATGGTTAAGAGTGGGCCTTGTTCCACTTCTTGACAATCATTAAACAGAACCTTTGAACTAGGAAAAAGTACACCTGACCTTTCATCTGAAGAGGAAGTTGTGAGGCTATTTATACTTTAAAAGAATCTCTAAGGGAGATGCTCCAAGGTTCCTAATTTGGGGATTCTTCTCCTGTGGTACAAACCCTTGTCTGTGCAGGGTTCACCTGGCTCTCACAGTGTCACCTGTGGGGGACTGAAGCAAGACTGAGCAGGAGAGAGGAAAAGCTCTCCTAAGGGAGCCAAAGTCGATTGTCCTTCCCAGAATCTGGGTTTGCTCCGGGAGACAGAGACAACTCAGTGGCTCTCAGCATTCCAGGAAGGCTTTTTACATTATCTGTTGGGTTTTACACCTGCTTCAGTCTCACCTTCTGACCTTCCTTCCATGTTTAACTCTTAGCCGCTATCCAGAGAGCAGCTGAGAGAGCCACCTGTCCCCTCGCTGGTTGGTTCTGCTCTACCACCTCTCTTAGTGGTAACTACTTTTTCTACAAAGGCTCTGAGGCAGCACTCTCTGCCTGCAGCATGGCAAGGGCCCCATCAGATTCTGAGACAAGACTTAAAATTTAGAAGCATGACCATTATGTTTACTTGGCCTTGGCTGCGTTTTCGTTTTTTAGCCGCTCAGCAAGAAGGCATGACCATCTCGCTGAGCCACTACCCACCATACTTTCAAAAGTTGACTTTAACAATGCATTATAAAGTAGAGAGTAGAAGCAGTTTCTAATGAGATTTTTGCCAAGGCAGGACTATTTGCCCACTAGCTTCTTTTTTCAAAGCATGAGGCATTGCATTGTCTCTTTTTGATTTCCTTCTGTTACACACATCCTCCATTGTTGAACCCAGTTATTGTTGAATATTTCTACAAATTTATTTGTCATGTAAGAGGCCAATTATATGGCCTTTCTTTCACCCCAGACTAACTGTCCATGACAGGCAAGGTGTATCCAGGCAGAGGATTTTAGCAATTTCCACATGACTTTTCTCCCCTTCACCATCGATCATGATTATCATTGAAAGGAGTTCAATTCACCATATTAATTATGCATGTATTAAAAGGACCAACTAGATCTGTAAACTATTTGGAAAGGTGCCCACATTATTTTAAGTTAAATTTAAAAAAGATGCAGACCAGATCTTAAACTGCTTCTGTCATTATCAGAACTATGTTGAAGTGAAGCTAGCAAACATGTATCAGTTAGGATACGAAGATGAGAGTTTTGCTTTCTAATAGTGGCCTTTATCAGGAATGTTTTTACAGATAAGGATTTTTTATTTTTACAAGAAGAAAAATACAACCAAAAAATTAAGATTAAAGAAAGGGTGTAGTTCTCAGTGCCAAGTGTTTTCTGCAGAATGCCGTCAACATGTTGACCTGTTGTGCTTGAGGCCCCTGTTTAGGTTCTGCTTGACGAATGTAGTGGCTCTGCCCCCAAATTCCTTTGTCACTTGGTGTTCTCATCTGCTAAGTGAGGATATTGGATTGATCCCTAAGAGTTCAGATGTCCAGCGTCTGGGGAGAAGTTTTTTTTCTCTCGGAATTGGGAGGGGGTTCTGGGACGAGCTTTTGCTGGTGA